GATAAAAGCTTGTGCAGAACCATAGTCTAACTCAAAAGCATGGTCAAGCCAACGCCGAGAGGAATAGGGATATATGGTAGAGTTACTTAGTCTAGAGGAGATCCGCGATTCAGAATCGGCCCTTGCAAAAACCTTCTGACATCTTTCAACAGTCTAACGGGTTATCGCCACTAAGGGAACGCAAACATGCCATTACATTGAAGGTGTTCCTCCTATAAGTGTCAGATTATGAAAGAAGATTCAAAAGACTTTGGATACAAGATTGACTTTTAGTACAAACTTTCACACTCAGAAAGAATGTCAACCAGAAAATACTATTCAAACTTTGGAGGATCTATTAAAGTTATTTGTCCTTAACTTTGGTGGAGGATGAAAAACAAATAAACCTTCAGTACAATTTGCTTACAATAAAAATTATTAGACTAGTAATGGGATGGTTTCAAATGAAGGTTTGTATAGAAGAAAATGCAAAACACTTTTATGTTGGGCTGAAGAAGGTAAAAGAAAGGTCATTGGGACTGACTTGTTTAATGATGCTGCTAAAAAGAAAAGACTAATCAAAGATGGATTAAGGGCAATACTGGGTAGAAAAAAATATTATGATGCTAAGCATAAATTTATTGAATTTGAAGTAGAAGAGAGTTTTTATTAAATATTGATCCTCTGAAGGGTGTGCAAAGATTTGGAAAGACAAAAAAATTAAGCCCTGGATATATATGACCATATGAGAATGTGAAAAGGATTGGACAGGTGGCTTATAAACTAGTTTTACCAATTCATATGCGGAGAGCACATAATTTTTTTTATATATTTGATATTGTTGACGAGTCTAATAGAACTGTTGTAAATTTAGCGGAGATACAACTTGATTTTATCTACAAAGAAAATCATAAAAGGATACTGGGCCTTGAAGTTAAAATATTGTCGGGTAGATAGATTCTATTTGTGAAGATTTTACGAAAACACATATTTTCAAAGGATGTTACTTGAGAAAAAGTTTCAGACTGGTAAAAACTTTTCAAATTTTGAGGACAAAATTCTTATAAGAATATGAGAACGTAATAACAAAAATTTAAATAGTAATAACAAAATAAATTCATTGAATTCGGTTCAAAAGGAAGCGCCTATCTCGATTATTTCGTTTAAAGAAATGAATGCCTCTTTCCAACTGTAGGAATCCAAAAGGGCAAGAAAGCGAGAGAGTGAGAGATAGTGAGCGAGAGACGGTGAAGAAGAACAGGAAGTAGTTGTGAAGAAGAGGGGTCACCTACTTCTCTTATCGGGATTTTGATGCTCTTATAGGAAGTCGAAGCCGAGCCCTAGCGTACGAAGAGGAGAGGAGTCGAGTGGCTCTACTTGCAAGCATTGTTTGTGAAGAAGAAGAGGAAGGAGCTTTCACGTACGTTCAAGCACGTCGAAGGCTCAGAGATGATCGACGACATCGCTGTGTGCATTCTCTGCGTACGAAAGAAGAGAGAAAGGGGTGCATTGTAAGGTCTCGCGAGTAAAGAATGGGACTATGCGGCTTTGTATTGTGCAAAGAAGGAGAGGAGACGAAGGTTTGCATGCAGGAGAAGTCGGAGCTGCATGCGAGAAAGAGAGACTGAATCGAGGTAATAAGAAATGCTAGGATTTTATTTCTATCAAGTAAATAATCGATAACATAAATGTTTATGTGAGGTATGACTTAAATCAAGAATTTAAGTTTGAGAAATACTTGAAATTTGAAGGCGGCAAAAAATCTTAAAGTAAAAAGAGGTTAATGCTTTAACCATAAAATTGTTGTCGATTATTAAATATTAATGTAGAAACTTATTTGTCTTAATTAGGAGTATTGTTTGAAAGATTTGGAGACATTGTATGGGGATTGGTAAGCGAAGATAATACTAGAGTTACAATCAACACATTTGAAAGAGGAAATACAACACACAACTCACGTTAGGGCGGTTCCAAGTGATGGTGGTGATGATTAAGGCTCGGAGAGGTGGCAACAAGGTAAGGAAGCGGTTTACAGACTATGCATAAAGGTTGACAGCAATCATGGGCAGCTGGAATAGCAGAATAGCATGAGCGGTAGCCCAAACAGCAGCAGGTTGTTGTTGGGGCGGCTGGACAGCAAGAAAACAACAAAAGGGAGGCGTTGTGTACCACGAAAACAAAGGTGGAGAGACGGGTAGCGAGGGAAGTGAGGACGGGTGAAAAGGAAATGGGGGTAGCTAGAACAGCAGAACACAAGAATCGGAATGTAGTTGCGAACGGCTGCAGCGAAGTACGTCGGCAGGGAGCGATGTGGGAATATGTGGAAGCGGATGGGAGGAAGATTAAAAATACCTCGGAAGAGAGATACAACATCCCTCAGATACAACCCTCGAAGCTGAAAATGGACGTCGGTGGCTATCCTGATAGAAATCTGAAATCCGAACCCTAATACGCATATATATGGGGAAGGACTAAAAGGAACGAAGGAAAATAGGAAAGAAATAATAACAAAAGAAAATAGGACTGCTTTGCCGGACCAACTACAGTATCATGAGAAAACTGTGCAGGAAAAAGTTTCCGCGTCAATCTCACAGGATTGAGCTTCAGAGCACGGAATTAAGTCGACCAAGTTGAAGGTTCCAGAGATATTATAGTCCCTTAGTAGATCGACTATGTAGGCGTTATCATTCCAAAACACATTCTAGTAGAATAGGTATTCGTGTTATTTTGGCACAACCTAAGTTGGCACTATAGATAGACTAGTATTCTCACGAATCAAGTATTGAGTCATCCCATTCGTAAATTTCTTCGTCCACTTCTCATACTCAGCAGAATCTAACTGATAAACTAGTATGTGAGAAGAAATCAGCTCCAGGGTGAAATCTGTGACAGGTTGCACCCCACTCACTAATAATCACTAAGAAGTGACCTCTTCTTCTTCACTAATAGGACCTGGATGTCATTGAAGAACTTTCTTCTCCATCAAGCTCCTATTAATTTTTTTTCCGTTGTACTATAGCAGATACAGTACTGAGCAGATACAGTACCAAGAGAGAACTATGCTAGAAAAAGCTCTGGCTTCTGAGTAATATAGAAGGATTTTGAAAGACGTAACAAGTGCTAATTAAAGAATAAGAATAGGGAATGCAAAAGAAAGAGAAAAAATTCAAGGGTTTGCATGCGTAATTTTTTTTTCTATTTGTAATAAATTAATGATTTATTTAAAAAGGAACTGTATTATTGTCTTAAAAATATCTGCTTTTCTTATTATATGCATATTGAAATTTTAAAAACCTTTTAAATGAAAATAAATAAAACAACAAAAGGATAATTAGTTGTTCAATGACTTTAAAGGGATATAATATAATAAATTAAGTCAATAAGGATTTACCCTTTTATAATACTAGTTGAGGATGTTATTATACTTGTGCACAAAAAAAAAATAGAAATGATAAAGTAGTACTTTTGGGTGACAAATTTTGAGGGTGCCTATGTGTACTAACTTTTGAGGTGTACCTACAAGTACAATATTTTTTAGAATGCAATCGAGTGTGATAATGATTCTGATATGACTTCTAAAAAAATTATAAATGTAAATATTTAAATTGAAGCATGAAGAGTTAATTTAAAATGAAAGCATATAGTTTGATTAATTAATGAATGAAATTTCTCTAGGATATTCATATATAGCATTTGCATATTAATCTAATGCATAATAAGATTGCAATTGCTTATTAAGTAGTCGTAAACCTAATACTGAAATTAATTATTTTTTTCAGGCAATATTCTAAATTGATATGACTGGCATGAGAGACTTGGTTCAAAGGATGACTACTGATACTATGTAGTAGTTTTTTGTTATGGTTCTAATTTATTATACTGTTTATTTCCAAGTAATGTTATATTGTTGTCGATTAGATTGCGATATTATTTTACTTTCTGACTATGTTATTGTTTTGGTTGAATTTGATTAATGTTTAGTGTACTTTATTATTTTTTAGTGACTCTTTCTACTATTGGAAGCTATGATGATTTATCGTATAAAATAAAAAAAAACTTAATTCCGTCCGAATGCAGTTGCCGACTTTGGTTAATTCTAAACTATCGGGCTAGGTTGTGACAGATCTCTTTTCAAAGCCCTTGCTATTCTGAGGTCTCTGGTCTTTAGTATCAAGACACATCTCCACTTCTATGATCTCCACCATCTAGTGACCATAGATCGGAGTCAATGAGAACAGTCAGTTAGTGGTCTTTTATTTAAAATAAAAAATGCTTGCACTGTGGAAATTAATTGTGGAAATGGATTCTATAGATGCACTAAAATTGGTAATGTTAAAATAAAGACGTGCAATCAGATAAATTGTGCGGCTGTGCCCACTTTACTCTGTATATCTGTTAGTTACAGCGTATGATCAATCTTTTTATTCAACATAAGAGCCTTATCGTAGAGATTAGTCTCTTCCAAAAAAATACCAGCCTGACGATGTCTTCTAAAATTCAGTTTTACCTTGATAAACATCAAATACAATTCTACAATGGACGTTTAGTTTTAATTGGCACATTTCTGAAGTTACATGGAGTTAATTTGGGATCTTGCAGTTGCATTTCGAAGCAGGAAAATGCTATCCATCGCACTTTGAAGGAGAAAAGGGCTTTTATAATTTGGTCATTCATCCAAGAGAACCAAACAGCACTGCCTCAACAACAGTTATTTCCGTCTTTGCACCAGTCAGGGTCATTGGTGGTATTGTTTCATTAGTGAAGAATATGGAGGTAGAAGTGATCTTTCTACTAACTAAGGGCACTGATTTTGGTATTTGTTTAGTAAAGAATTATCATATTTGAATACATGAATGTGTCTTCCAGAGAAAATTAAAATAAAAAAGTTTTAAATTAAAAGACAACACCAGAAATGAGTGAAAAAAGGGATGAAACTATGGAAACAGCACAGCACCACATGCACCCTTCTGCGCACAATAGCACTTTACTTGAAAAATAGTGAAATACGTTCTGAATCCCACCTGAGCAGTGTTAAAAGCCGGAGTCTTACAATCTGGTAATATGATAACTGACCAAGCAGGTAAAGTATAGTCTTTGCCAAATAATTTCACTGCAACCGACTTGTGCTCATCAATGTTTGCAAGAAATGCCGAGCAAATGTTCAAGTTTTTTGGTAAATTTTCATTCCTTTTTAGAAGAACACTGGAGTAAACATGTGCCTACAAATACAAAGAACATTTTATTTATCGAGGAAAGTAATGTCAATACAGAAAGAATAGAAAGTATGTAAGCACAAACAGCAAGTAGATCGCAAAAGCAACTAACTCAGCTGCTCTGAAGCAGTAATATAGCGTATGAAAACATTTCAAATTGTGAGAATACAACTACAGTATTACTAGAGATCTTGATACATTCACAACATACAAAATTGAAGATTTTAAGAAGTTGACGTCTCCATCAGTCGATTCAAACCATTTCTAGTTCACTAGAATTATAATTCTTAAAGAATTGACTCCTTTATGCTAGTAATGAGTAATGAATGCTTAAAGAATTGCTCCTTTATGCTAGTAATGAGCAATGACTTTGCCGCTGAAAATGAGAAAAAATGGTGCAGAAACCAGAATATTTATATGTAAGTATGTAAGCAAACAGAACTGACGATTTAAACGTAAGTTGATTGCAAAGGCTCAACAAAGATGACAAAGTGAAGACTAACAGTATAATAATGGTATAAAAGTTGTTAATGAAGATTACTTAAATTTCTTTTGTTTTGAAGTAAAGTTAAAGACAAAGCTCAACTACTTTAAAAATAAAAATACCAAAGAAGCTAGACAATAGTCTAACAAGGGAGAATAGAGCAAAAGGGTAAAAAATTTCATAACAAAATAGAAAAGGAAAACTTAAGAAGGTCCTAAAAAAGGTAAGGATAAAAACAATTAAAAAAAACAAGACAAAATAGCCAAATTAACCAGGCAAAAGAGCAGAAACTCCATACAAAAAAACAGTCTAAACAACAAAAATACAGTCTGAGGTGAGCAGTCATAGAACCACAGCAACATAAGAGCATCAGAGAATGCCCAAGGGATGAGAGAATGCAAAGTAGATAAAAGTTTGATAACACTATGAAATAGACCACCACATGATATGGATGAAACAGCACAACAAGCTAGAAACCAAATATACATCTTTAAGCCAGCCAATTCTCTCAGCAATCACAGTGATCAGACAAATCAAGATAAAAATAAATATCAAAATCAAGATAATAATTTCACACCCTAGTCAACCCTCACAAGTCAACTAAAAGAGGATGACTCAGTCAGACTAACTTTCTAGTAACCCTCATTGTAATGTGTACTCGTTATGATCAAATGAGTGGAGAACAAGTCTTACCAAATCATCACAAGCAAACTCTTATATTTCAATTTATTCAACCATTCCTGAATCATAAAATAAAAAAGTATGCACAGACAAACCTTAAATAAAATATCGAGCTTTTAAAACGCTTAAATATAAAATCAATAAATTCAGAATTTATATTTTTTATGTATCAATTTGATAGAAATAAAAAGTAGAATTTTATATAAAAATTTGGAAAGTTTTAAGGGTAGGTAAGAAAATGATGTATATTTTAAAATTAAATGAAATTTATCTATTTGTTCTTTTTTTCAGAATTACAATTCTCCCCTCATTAAAGTTCCATCCTAAAAATTATTTAGAAATCAATCGAATAAGTGATAGAGTATGCCTCAATTTTTATTCATTTTTTTAAGTTCTATCTTTCTCTGCTCGTGCCTCCACTTTTATCTTAACATAAAGGAGCTATCAATTCTTAATTTTTTGTTATCAAAATTCTCTCAAGCTCCTAAATATATGTCAAATCTTTCTGCAACATAATATATTTATGTGAGATTCTCTCATATAAGTTTGAAACACATTTCGTCAAAAAAGATATGTAAAAAGTTGATAAATATATAACATTGGTATCCTATAAGCAACCTTGTTAATTTTCTCAATGATTTCAAAATGTCCTATGTATCTAGGATTTAATTTGTTTTCCTAGTCAAATCTGGTTGTATCTTTCATAGGCCAGATATTAAAAAACACAATATCACCAATCTCTAACTATACCACCTTATGCATGAGGTCATTATAGTTCTATTAATGACTCCCGAGTAATTTTTAATCTTTTTTTCTGATTATTTTGATTTTCTCTATAGCTTAACTAACTCTAAGCCAATAATCTTCTTTCTCTTATCTCGACTCAACCTGATAGACTAATGCAATTTTGTCTTAGAATGCTTCATGTAGTGCTATTTTTATACTAATTAATAAATGCTATTGTATGCAAACTCAATCATCAAAATATGATCCTCCTAGCTACCACCAAAATCCAAAACATATAGCCTCAAACAAACTTTCAATACATGAATTGTTCCTTCAGATAAGCAATCAATTTGTGGATAAAATGTTGTTTTGAGATGTAACTGTGTGGTCAAACATTTCTATTGTCTTTTCAGAATCTGAAAGTGAACTTTCATTTTCTATCAGAAACAATCACCTTAGAAAAAACATACAATTTGACAATTTTGTTAACATCAAACCTTACCAACTTATCAACTGAATGTGTCTATTAAATTGACAAAGAATGAGATGACTTGTTAATTTGTCAATGATTACTCAAATGTTATCACATCTTATATAGATCTGAAAAATCCTATAACAAAATTTATCACGCTTTCTTCCCACATTTATTTATATATAGGTAGAGATTGTAATAATCCAGCAGGTCTCTAATGCTCACCCTTCACAATCTGTAAGCTTGACACTTAGATACATACTCTGAAACGTTTTTCGTCATATTTGGCCATCAGAGCAACGATTTCAAATCTTTGTATAGTTTGATGGTGTCTAGGTGAATATTGTAACATACAGGATAAGCTTAGTGCAAGATTTCCTATCTCAAGCATGAATCAGTAGCCACCGACAACTATCATTTTTTTTTCTTTTTACAATGCCTTCTTCATTTATAGTAGTAGCTGTTTTTTCCTAAGTAAATTTGCTAAGAAAATTTTTAATATTAATTGCTAGCCCTTTGAGCTGCTTAAATTACAATAATCAATGTTGGTTGTATGATCATGTTGACCTCATTTTTAGTGAGGTCTAATCTTTCTCTTAGGATTTAGGATCTAGCCTTAGGGACCTCCCTTCGACTATCTTAAAACCTTAGAAATGGGACCCGCCTTGTTTTAGAAATTCAACCCGCTTCCGTTCCCTTCTGGAGTTTCGCGTGTGTGGTATCAACTTCTAGCACTTAGAAGGAAGAAACCAACATGAGGAAACCCAAAAGGGATTCCCTATAGGACCTTCCTGAGCCTTAGGGTGGCCTTCTGCACAATTCGCACTCCCGCGCGCACAAGCTTCGCAATTCGGAGAGTCGACGTGTCCGATCGCCGCAATTCGCATTGCCTGCACTGTTACCTGTCGAATGCTCAATTGAATCTTTTGGGATGATCGATCGCGGGTCGAAATTTTATGAAATTTGAATTTCGACGGGTTTTTGACCCGATTGTCGACGACGTCATCCGAGCGACCCCGGATGACAAAACGGACTGCGCCAACGCGTCCGGAAGTCCGGAACGTCGATTTTACCCAGGGAGGACACCCATTTTGTCGCGTCGCCGCGCGCGAGTAAATTGTGTTTTAATATATATATATATATATATATTTATATATGTATATTTATATATATATTAATTAACCCCTTTACCCTTTCCCCTTTCCTCTTTAATCCCTAACACTCCCCTGCGCTCGAGCTCTGTCTCCCGCGACTCTCCCGTTCGCGTGTCTGTTGACCTCATTTTTGGTGAGGTCTTAGTCTCCTACTCTTAGAACCTAGGATCTAGCTTTAGGAGTTCTTATTGACAATCCTAGCGGACTAGCAATGGAGCCCACCTCCCGTAGAACTTCAAGCCACTGACATTTCTCCTCCTCTTCCTGATGCTTCCCTTGCTGTCATTGCTCTCGCCGCTCGGTCCGAGAGATGTCGTTGGCTTCGCCTTCTGTCGGCAGGGGGCATTTCTTTTCTTTTTGGCCAGATTCGAGTGTCGTGGACTATTGGGGGGTGGTTTTCTTTCTCTTCTCCTCTATTCTCTGCCTATAAGGATGGTTCCTTTGTTTTTTTTTTAGGTTGTTGAAAAGTTTGCAAGAGGAGAGAAAAGGAGATTTCTGGGAGAGCATTTCTTTGAGGTGGTTTCCTGTGCTGTTGTGCTTTAGCATTCTTGAGGTACCCCTCTCTTCCCCCCCTTCTTCGGTGCCCTGTTTCCCTGTTT